AGCGACCCCACTTTGGGTTGTCCGACCGGATTCCTCGACGACCGAAACCGCTTCAGGCAGTGACGAGAAACCGGGGATCCCCCTCCCTCCGTCCGCGGGAGCTACGAATTTTATTTGAATTGGTCAGTCGAAACCAACAATGATGAGGATGTCAACATTAATTTCTTGAATTTCGACTCTGACGTCGACCCATAACTTGTTGAAGAAACTCTTCAAGGCGGTACCGTGGGACGAGAGCAGTTCTCAATGGGTCGCGGCGATGAAGCGACCGATCCCGAGGTTTCAGCCGCGATGATGGTCCCTTCGACTTTGTGGCACCGACCTTTCCGTGTCTTGGTTACACCCCCACAAGGCTATTGTGTGGGCTATGTCGTCGGTCATTGACGACACCGACTGGCACAGTTGAGGGGAAAGTTCAATTTTGGTCCGAGGCTGTAGATATTTGCGCCTTACAATGGGAAGATGATTCATTGCCCCCCGCCCGGGTGCATCGAAGTTTATCATTCCAGCATCCTTCTAGATTTGCGATTCTCATTGCCCGGCTTTGAATGATATCCTCAGCAAGCTCAGCATTGCCATCAGCCAACTGGTGCTGACCATATTTTCTCGTGTCGTAAGCCTAATAGTCATGTTCTGTTGAAGGGACGGCAAATCCTACAGGTGACGAGGTGAAGGCATTGTTCGCCTTTAAAAAGTCCGGCGATATCGATCACTGCTACAACTCGGCACTTCTGGGGATCGATAAGACGTTGGTTTCCAAACTCTCCGAGACCCTTCACGGCTATATTCCCAAGTGGTTCTTGGTCGGCGGTGAATGGAGAGTCGAGGACGTGGCTCGCATACTCCCACTCACTTTATTTCTTACAGAAGTAAGTATTTTCAGCTCTTTTTCTTCGCCCGCTAATGTTATTTTTCTTTTTGTGCTAGCAGGTCTGTTTTAGTCCACAACTCGAACTCGAATCTTACTGCAAGCCTCCCTACTAGGATTGATACTTTGTTAAGACGTCCACACGAAGATCGGCATTATCAGCCACTCGTCGAGGAACAAAACCTGCTTGAGTATAACCCTCTGCACCGTGATTCCCAACAAGTCCGTTGTCCTAGGTATTCATTTTTCAGCTTGGCTCTTTATTTGAACTTTGATCGGTATTGCCTTCTTACTCGTCTTGCGTGCCTTGCAGTTTATTATCCGCTACTTCGACAACGCGAATTTGAGTCCGTCAAAGAAGCTAATAAGTACTGACGTGCCAATCCCGATTCCCTCAAGACCAGATCGAAAGAGATGTCGGCTAGCCTAAAGTTGGCTATGGATAGGGTAAATAAAGCCCTGGCATCGAGCTCGGCTGACGCTGGGAATATTTTGCCACCAACCGCATGTGCCAAGCGGGGCTGCTGAACTTCCAGTCATAGAAAACGCACCGGCAGCCGTGCTGCTGAGGCCGGCCAAGGGACTGGCCAACAAGGGGCGGATGTCGAACCCCGGGTTACTAGGCGCTGAGATCGGGAGGAGGTGTCGATCACGCCTACCGGGGAGTGAGGTTCCCATTGAAGAAGCCCCAGATCGTCGCTCGACCAAGAGAAAGAAGGTCGTGGAGGAGGAGGAGAGGGGTCTCGCTTTTGCATAGGAACCGAAGGTCCCCGTCCATTAAGTCGGTCCGTCCATTTATCTGTCAGTCGATCTGAAGACGAAAGAGTGTTTCCAAAGGGATCTCTCTGGGTTTCCTGACAGCTGGTTCATTAATGTTAAAGCCGCCGTGGTAACGGACCTCCCCAACGAGTTCGGTATGCCTGAGGCCGTTATACAAGCTACTTGGCTCCCGATGGTCATCTGGACACCAACCGCCGAGGCCGCCGTCCCCATTTTGAACACTACTCAACTGATCAAACACTCCACCACGACTATTTCTCAGGCGTTAGTCGAGATCGTCCATGCCGCCGATCAGACGCGGAGGACCGAAGTCGAGCTGAGGTAGCTGGAGTAAAATCACGGTCTTTGTCGGGCTCGCATTTTGTCTTTGAACGACAAGGCCAAGAAGATGTCCGAGCTTGACAAAGCTCTTCCTCACCCGCGAGGAGGCTGTGAAGGTTAATATGAGGGAGACCGAGGTGTGAAGGAGGAGTACAGGGGGGACGAGAAGTTGAAAAAAGAAAGGGAGGACTGGAGGGAGAAGCAGTAGAGCATGGTGAGAAAGCATGCCCTGGAAATGGCCGACTTTTATGAGCAGAACTTGAAGAAGATGGACCAACTCAGGACTTGGGTCAAGGAACTTCGTGTCGAGCTTGATGCCCACGAGGAGGAGGCTTAGAAGCTCGCCAAAGCCGTCGTGGTTGCGCCATCACCCCATTTGCACACTTACCCTGAAGTTCAGGCGCTTTACTTCAAGGAGATGCTTGCCGACATGGATTCTGGGTAGAGTATCTTCTGGCTGTTTCAACACCTCGACCACGACTTGCTCTCTTTGGACAACTTCAGGGCGATCATGAAGGCTAAAATCGCCAAGCATCGCCTAGATGCTGAGCTCTATGGGCTAGTGTGTGAGGTTGATGAGAATGAGGTCGTGCTAAAACGCCTTCGGGAAGGCTGGGCTGACGATGTCGTGGTTGGTCTTTCAGGTTTTCGCCCGATCCATGCAATCTGCGCCCGACCGAGGGTGATCGATTGATCGACTACGAGGCCTTTCCCTTGGTGACCAATGCGTCAGACG